TCTCTCTCTCTTAAACACACTCATACATACACACATACACACACACTTCCTGTCTGTCTGTCTCTCTGTCTGTCTGTCTGTCTGTCTGTCTCTCTCTCTCTCTGTCTGTGTGCCCCCCCCTCTCTCTCTCTCTCGCTCTCTCTCGCTCTCTCTCTCTCTCTGTCTATCTATCTTTCTATCTCTCTGTCTATCTCTCTTTCTCCAGCTGTGTGATCTTGGGAGGCAACCCCGGATATATTCATGTCTGCACCGATCACAGAATACATAACACCCCCCTATCAGCCTACCCTTCACCGTATTTACGGTCTCTGCTTTCACCACGAGTTGCTAAAAATAGTACCGTAGACAGCAGGTAGTAAGCATGAATTTGGCTTTAGCTGAATTTGGCTTTAGCTATATCCGGTTCAGAACTGGGATCCCTTTTCTGGAAAACGCAGAAAAGCACAATACGCCCAGCATGCAAAATTGGTATCCTTTAATTAGCCAAAGCACTAACACAATAGAGATAGATTTCAAATAATTAACCGAAACATTTTGAATGAAACTGCCCCGTATTTATTAAGTGAAACAATTTCCACACACGCAAAAAGAGCACCATTCTTGACAAATTTTGCCAGTTTTAATTTGGTTATTAAATTTTGTGAACACTCTGATCTTTTATGCCCTGGCTTTCATAAAACTTTTATCTTTTTAGACACATCCTAACTAGAAATTTAGAAGCCAATAATAATAATAATAATAATATCACATAAAAATTATGCTCTTCCTCTGCATCTGAGACCACGCAACAATATTATATCTTCTTTCCCTAGTAAAATATAAATTTTATGTGAAGTATAAGGCCATAATACGTAAACATTTCTTGTGGTGTGAAACCTGTCGACATCAGAATACCCGAGCAGGACGCTAAGAACCAGGGACAGATACAGCGGGTAGGTTATTCCGGGTCAAGTCAGTTCCTAACCCATTCCAATGTCCGGTTATGACCAAGCGGATTTTACTTTACAGAGTTAACCGGATCTTTAAATTTCTTGAAATGCAAAAATCAAACAACCCGAATATAGGATCTAACATTGGAATCTTTCTTCTGTTGGTGTTCTCAGACGGTTTCTTTTAACATTTTGTGAAGACAAAAAACCATGCCGGGAACAGAGCTTATTCAAAATAAACTATTATTATGTCTCTGATCTCAAAGTACAAACAGCCCAGTAAACCTGAAATAATTCGAAATAAAATAAACACCACCGTGACATAGAGAACTCTTTATTGAAAAGGAGTTGGAAACATGAAGGTGTCCACTTGGCTTGGTATTCGGTAAAGAAACCTTTCTCTTTATTTTCTCTCTCTGCCTTCATTAGCATTCCGTTATTGAAATATTTACCTGCGAGAGAGGACGAAAGCGCCTAAAATCTTTTAGAGTCGCTCTCTCTCTCTCTCTCTCTCTCTCTCTCTCTCTCTCTCTCTCTCTCTCTCTCTCTCTCTCTCTCTG